GGGGGGGAGTCACATTTGGCCACCCCAGTAACAATTCATAAAGTAAATATATGTGTCAGGTACCGAAAATAGGAATAGGAAGCACATCAGGAAGTAAGATTTAAGGGGACAAGAGGGTTTCATCAAGGAGAAAAGTGGCCCACAAAATGCTGGCTCTAAGGACCAAAAGGCAAACTGCTGCTTCTCAGCATTTTGCAGTCTTCATTTCTCAGGCAGCTGTTGGTTAGTTTTGAGTTGAGGCTATGAGAGTTCTAATATGCACCAAATCACTTTATGGTCCTTTCCAGGTAGCACTGCATCATTCTCTCAGCAGAAATCAATGTGAGAGACCACCAGTGTTTGAGACTGTATCTGGCTCTACAGAAAGTCTGTGTTTTATTTTTATTTTTTAGAATCTTGAACTGCAAGTAGGAATGAAACCTAAATGTCCTCTAACTAAAACAGTCATGACTAACCATGTCTTTATTAATTAGCAGAAATGAATGGAAAAGATAGCTTAGAGTGACCATAATCTGATGTATTGATTCTTCCTACCATGTTGCATTCATTTCACTCTTCAGGACTCTCACAATGCCTTGTGCCTGTGCATCACTCCTTACTTTGCACTCTGACACCCCTCCCACAACACACTTAATTTAAGTTCCCTTAGTGCTGGGCTCTGTTGCTTTTTTGCTTTTGTGCCACAGCATCGTGCCTGGATCATCAAAAACAATCAATGGCTTGATTGAATAAGTAGCTCAGAGCTCACGGGTGCTTCTAGGAGCTGTAGTTTGCAGATCCAAGTTTAAGCATCACGGCATAGGCCACAGCAGAATGCTGGACTTGGAGCCTGGAGAAAATAAGTAGCTCTCCAGCACAATGACTTATATACAGCCTGAATTGTTAAAAAAATAGTCATAGCACTGGACTGAGCCCTGCTGGAACTCAAAATTGGGATCTGATGGTTCTCGGTCTTTGAGGAATGTAAACACATGGTTGGGGAGAAAATGTACATACCTGAAAATTTAATACATATAGAAGAAATTTAGGAATATATAAGATGATAATACGAGCTGCCTGAAAGCCTTTCTAAAACAAGACAAGGTGTTGATTAACTACAAGAGGTGTCATATAGCAGTAAGTAATTAAGTAAATATGAAATAAGTGGCTTAGGTAATTAATGTCTGGAGGGCACAGGGGCCATCAGGAAAGACATCAATTTGTAAGTGGGACTTGATGAGGACGTTGAAAGATGGTTGGGGTCCAGGATATTAAAAAGGGGGAGAATGATCAAGGTGGAGGAGAAACCTTAAGTAGAAATTCAGAGGTGAGGACATGTGCAAGGTGGGTCTCAGAACAGCATAGACTGACATTGTATTAAGAGCTATTTTCAACAAAAATGTAATTTTCCAGTTAGATTGAAGCTTCTGACACTTCAACAAGACACTCTTCCAGTGGTCTTTGAAACAGAGATAACTTGGCAGGCTCCATTAAGATTGTTCTAGCCCAGCCAGGTGTGACTCAGCAGTTGAGCATCGACCTAGGATCCAGGTGATCGGGGTTCGATTCCCGGTCAGGGCACATGCCCAAGTTGCGGACTTGATCCCAAATCAGGGGCGTGCAGGAGGCAGCCGATCAATGACTCTTTCATCATTGATGTTTCTATCTCTCTCTCTCCCTCTCCTTTCCTCTCTCTGAAATCAATAAAGATATATTTAAAAAAAAAAAAGATTGTTCTAGTATCTTTGGGCACACCCCCCACTAGAAAACTGTAGAATGTTGAGTAAATGAACTGATCTTTCCTAGCACCATCACAAAAATAATGTAGCTTTGGTTTTTTTATTAAAATACATTTGGAAAACCCTTGTTTGGGGCATTCGGTAGCCTGGATCATGACTTGAATCTTGCTTCCTGAAAGCTATTTTTGCTTAAGTTCTAAATAATTTAGTGAAATGCGATCAGTTTCATCCTATATGAGACACTCAATTGTTCAAACTTCATTACCGCAGGGAGAAATGACATGGAAGATATAAAAATGGTTCCCACCACATGGGTTTAGTCACTCATTCTACAAAAATCGGTTTGGTTCTAGTATTTGCCAGGGATCACTCTATGCTCAGGGGATTTGGCAGGAAATAAGAAGGTCAGATTTGCTGCTGTCATGGAGCTTCAGTCTAATAAGCTGCCACCTCAGTTTGTCCCAGAGGATCACCTGAGTTCCCCTCTCTAGCAAAGTGAATTCAAGCTCTTTATTCTCAGCACTCCTACAAACAGACTCAGCTCAGGTAGTGGTGAGTTCTCAAAGTCAGTGGTCTTTTTCTTAGCAGGGATGGAGGCCTGGCTCACCAGCAAGTGTTATGGCCTTGGGAGAATGTCATAACCTCTTCCACTACTACCCTTGATACTATACTGAAGGGCATGGAAATTCCCCACAACCTCTCAGTCCCAAGTCCACTTTATTGAAGAATCATTTACTGTTGAAAGCACTAGAAATGGTATTCTTAAAATTATGTTTTAAAATGCTTTCTTTCTTATCTTTTCAATATATTTATTTATATACTTTCAGATTTCTTCTTAGCAGGTTCAGATCAGCAACCAGAGGAGAAATCATCATAACTCCAAAAACTGAAAGTGGGAGGAGCTACAGTGTGGACTTAGATAGCCAAAATTTTCGGCGTTTAAAGTCAGCCCCCAGTTCAGACAGGTAAGACACATACAGATTGGACAATGGTGTAGCCTGAGGATAAGGTTGATGTATTTCCATCCAAACAGTGCTTCTAGGTACCTGTGAAGTTTTACCTCTTGGAGAACCCCTAAAACAATGTGAAAAGCCAGGAGGATATTATTTTAGTTGAAATGGAAAGCGCTTATATTTCTTCTGGAACTACAGCTATTGAATTCATCTGTGTTACCTGCAGGGATGAGACTTTATGTTTTGGGACTCAGGGCTGCAGTTCAAATGGAGATGTACAAGGAAAATAAATTATTTTCATTGATTTCTTTATCTTTTTCTGTTTAACCTTCTGAAAAAGAAAGTTCTGAGTGTTATATACAGTCCTTGTAGCTTTTAAAAAATTACTAACATCATTTGAACTACGTTAGGGAATTTCCGTAAATTCAACTTCTTTCTAGTTCCACCTCCTCTAACTTGTTATCAGTGGGGTCAAGTGAGAATCTCCAATATAGAGAGCTGTCACCTTGTCAAGCAAAGTAAAGAGAAATAGAAAGGATAGCCAAGTGCATAGTCATTTCATACCAGGCTTGATTTTCTTTATCTTGTTGGGGCACAAGTCAAGGCTAATTTTATGATTAGTGCATTTTCAAAGGCAACAATGAGAAAAAGATCTACCTTCATGTTTCTCTGCTTCTTATAAATGTTAACTTCCTCTTGCTTGCTTGCAGCTGCAGTAATTCTGCAAAGCCGAGAAGTAAAACCTCCTTAGGTTCTTCAAGCAGAATTACATTCTCCCTGTTATTCATTTTAGAATATAGAACAGCAAATCCTCTAGAGAGAACACTCTTTTGACTGTTGGGTCTATTTTTTTTCATGATGACTCTCCATGCCTCCATTTTTCCCTGAAGTATTTCTGCAAACTGGTGTCACTTTATATAAAACTTCACAGAAAAACAGATGGAAGTATAAAATAAATCATTTACCCACTATCAAAAGATCATCACCATATTCGATATTTTCCAAATTTCCAAAAGTATAGGTTATTTTCTTTATAATAAAATTTAAACCACTGTTGCCTTTGTCCTTGAAATAGTTACCTTTGACTTCCTTCTGGGTTGCCCCGTGTTGTGTCCCACAAAAACTTTATATAAAAGTCTCATTTTGTTTTTGATTGTTGAACTCCTAACTCTCAGACATCAAAATTATTTAGAGATGACAAACATAGCTTAGTGATGTTATTTTTGCTCAGCCTCTCAGGGACTCTACGGATGAACCATCTTGACTTACATTTCAGGCTAGCATTTAAGAAGGACATTATATAAACAAAGAGGAAATATGGAATTCCTTGCTCAAAAAACAAAAAGTCCCCTTGCCCAACAAACAAAATTAGGTTCCATTTTAAATTAATTTGTTTTACAGTTACTCAACATGAATAAGGGGCATGCTCTCTAATATCACAATGTTTGGACCATGCTCACAGAATCTATCTGCCTGGGTTTAATCCTTGTGTCTTATCTACTGCTGGGTATAAATAACAATAAAGCTACAAAGCCATATGGACATGTTTCACCAAATATGGGTGTATTGACCCAGAGGTTTCTTGTTTTTGTTGCAAACTGGAAGGAGGTCCCTAAGTAGACTTTATCTTTTAAATTGTAAATACCTGAAATGGTTTACAGATCATCAGAAAATAATAGTCAGGGGTGCTTTGGCTTAAACATGCCAGGAACAATGTTTTCCCATTAAGAAAGACAGTAAAGATATTTGGGAGATGAGTAGAGCAAAATGTCCTTTTCCTAGAACATGATGACTCATTAATAGACTGCCCCAGTGAGCTGAGTTTCATTATCCCCAAATTGTTCCATAGAAAGTTGGGGCATGAAGTGGCCCATCTTTTCTTAACTCCCATCACCTAAAACTGTTAACTCCCTTTGTTTACTTGAAGCTCTAGTAATTGTACAAAGCCAACAGCAAAACAGGCAGGCTTTCTTTTCTCCTTAGTTTCTGCAAGCAGAATTGCATTCTTCCCTGTAATTCATTTTATTTTATTTTTTAATGTTTTAATTTATCTTTATCGTTGAAAGTATTACAAATGTCCCCCTTTTCCCCCCATTGATCCCCTCCATCCTGCACCACCCCCTCCAGGCCTTCATCACTCTATTGTTTGTGTCCGTGGGTTATGCATATAGGTTCTTAGGTTAATCTCTCCCCACCCCTGCTTTACCTCTGAGTTTCACCAGTCTGTTCGATGCTTCTGTGTCTCTGGATCTATTTTGTTCATCAGTTTATTTTGTTCATTAGATTCCACATATGTGTATCCTCATGTGGTAGTTGCCTTTCTCTGACTGGCTTATTTCACTTAACATAACACTCTCCTGGTCACATCACGCTGTCTCAAAGAGTAAGGGATCCTTCTTTTTTACAGCTGCATAGTATTCCATGATGCAAATGTCCAAGAAGACGCTTGATATGATTTCAATCTTCTTGAACTTATAGAGACTTCTTCTGTGTCCTAACATGTGGTCTATTTTTGAGAATGTCCCATGTGCACTTGAGGAGAATGTATATTCTGCAGCTTTGGGGTGAAATGTTCTGTAAATATTGATTAAATTCATCAGATTTAGACTGTCTTTCAGAGTCACTGTTTCCTTGTTGATTTTTTGTTGGAAAGATCTATCCTGTAAAGTCAGTGGGGTGTTAAAGTCTACTATAATTGTTTGCTATCAATCTCTACCTTAAAATCCTCCAGAAGTTTTTTTGTTTTTGTTTTGTTTTTTTAGCCTGTGTGAGTCTTTTGTTCTGAGGTGAGTCTCTTGTAAACGACATATATTTGGGTTTTGTTTTCTTATCCATTCAGCTACCCTATGTCTCTTGATTGGGAGATTTAATCCATTTATATTTAAGGTTATTATCGATAGATATCTATTGCCATTTTATTTCTTTATGCTTATGTTTCTCTTTCTCTCTATTTCTACTTCTTATTACAGCAGTCCCTTTAACATTTCTTGCAATGCTGGTTTGGTGGTGATAAACTCCTTTAGCCTTTTTTTTGTGTGTGTCTGGGAATCTCTATTTCACCATCTATTTTGTTTGGGGGGTTTTTGTTCTTTTTAAATTTTATTTTTTTAAATACATCTTTATTGATTTCAGAGAGGAAAGGAGAGGGAGAGAGAGAGACAGAAACATCAATGATGAGAGAGTCATTGATCGGCTGCCTCCTGCATGCCCCTGACTGGGGATTGAGCCCACAACCCAGGCATGTGCCCTGACCGGGAATCGAACTCTGATTGCCTGGATCCTACGTTGATGCTCAACTGCTGAGCCACACCCGGCTGGGCTCACCATCTATTTTAAATGATAGCCTTTCTGGATAGAGTAGTCTTGGTTTCAAATCCTTGCTTTTCATCACCTTGAATACTTCATGCCATTCCCTTCTGGACTGTAGAGTTTCTGATGAGAAATCAGTTGACTGCCTTATGGGAGCTCCTTTGTAGGTAACAGATGGCTTTTCTCTTGCTGCCTTTATGATTCTCTCTTTGCTTTGAATTTTTGGCATTTTAATTATGATGTGTCTGGGTGTGGGCCTGTTTGGGTTCTTCTTGCTTGGGACTCTTTGTGCCTCCTGAACTTGTGTGACTTTTTCCTTGACCAGGATAGGGAAGTTTTCTGCCATTATTTCTTCAAACAAGTTCTGTAACCCTTGCTTACCTTCTACCTCTTCTGGCACTCCTATGATGTGAATATTGTTACATTCCATGATGTTCTCCTGTTTTTAAATTTTTTTTCTTTTTGGTTCTCTGATTGAGTGATTTTTTCTACCCTGTCTTCTAATTTGCTGATCCAATCCTCAGCTTCCATTAATCTGCTATTTATTCCTTTTAATTTTTTTTTTTCATTTTATTTCTACTATGATATTCTTAATTCCCTTCATAATTTCCATTTCTTTTCTCATGCTGTTGAGCATCCTTACAATCAGTATTCTGGACTCTATATCTGATACATTGCTTATCTCCATTTCATTTAGTTCTTCTGGAAAATTAATTTGTCCTTTCATTTGGGACTTGTTTTATTGTTTCTTCATTTTGGCTGCCTGTTTGGGCTTGTTCCTATGTATTCGGTAGATCTGCTAGGACCCCCAGTCTTTTGGATGGTCTCTGGTGCAGGCCAATGTCAGACACTCTTTGTGACTGGCCTTGAGTACCCTGTTTGAAGCTTTTCACACTCCACAGCTTGTGGTTTCCTCTGCTGGGGATGGGTGTGTTTGGACAGGACCAAAATGCACACCAAGGTCTACTTTTCCAAGCCCTGGGTCCAGAAGCAGCTCAGGCAAAGGCTCAAAACATACAGAATGCTTGTTATTCAGTCTGTTAATGAACCTCAGGCTGTACAAACTCCACAGGGTGGGGCAAGAGACTTTCCAATGGGTGGGGCAATTGCTTCCCCCCCCCCAGGCAAAAACTGCTTGGATGATAAATGTCTACCTGAGAAAGATGTCCTCTGCTCTATGTGAGAATGAATCAGCACAGGGATGCAGATGGCTGCCCTCTGAGCTCCATCTCCGGAGCCAGCATCCCCTGACTCTCCCCACACAGCTGCAGCCCATCCTGCCCTCCCTCTGCTGGAGCCCAAGGTGAGTGGCTGCACTTGAAACTTTGTGCATGGGCCCTTTAAGAGGGTGCCTGCTTTACCAGCCATCTCTCCCTGGCAGAAACAACCCTGCTGCTTTTCACAGGGCACCTTTCTCAGTTCTGGTGCTCTGGGCTGGAGAGCCCAGCTTGGGGTTTAGACCTCAGAGTTCTCAGTGGTAACCCCCCACAGCTGAGATATCCCTCTAGACCTTCAGCTGCTGCCTGTGAGAGCCAGGCTAGCCCTCTCACACCTCAACACTTCCCATCAATCTCTATGCACTTCCTACCAATCTCTATGCAGCCTCCACTTTGGGTCCTTGGTTATGAAGGTGCCCTCCAGCCAGTATTCAGTTGATTATTCAAGATGATTATTCTCTATTTTAGTTGTAATTCCAGTTTGGT